TCGATGATTCTCTCTCATCATTGATGTTTCTATCTCTCTCTCCCTCTCCCTTCCTCTCTGAAATCAATAAAAATATATTTTAAAAATAAATAAAAAAAAATAAAATAAAGCAACAACAGTCTGTGAAATGTGGTTAAAGGAGCAATGGAAATTTAAGAAGTGGAGGGAATCAGGATATATAGGGTGGGGCAAAAATAGGTTTATATATGGAAAATGATACAATAATTAATAAATAATAATACAGTAATTAATAAATTATCAAGACCCCAACTAATGGTCTGGCTGGAACATACTGTGTTATGTTCCTACAAAAAGAGGATGGGTACCTTATATTAAAGTGTTAACTCAGCGGGCCCTGACTGATTAGAAGATAAACCTCCGATTCCCTGGAGAATCCCTGCCTGGTAGAAGTGTTTTTATAACTGAGGTCTTAGGTCATACCACAGAGTTTATGTGAACAATGAAATTTATGGCCCAGGACTGTTTTTGTGTGCCTGAGGCTTAGGAAAACACTGTAACCTTTTGATTTTAGGAGCTAGAGACACCAGCTAAATCTGCTTCCCTGGTAGGCAATCCTTCGCATGTGTCCCCAACATCATTGCTGGGAGAATTGAGAAATTTTTTAAGACAATAAACATTTATTATCTGTCTCCATCAGTCAGAAGTCCAACCATAGACTCATTGGGTCCTTTTCTCAAGATCTCAAGACTACACGAATATGTCAGTCAGATTTGGGATCTTATTTGGCACTGGGCCCCCTTCCAAGTTCACTGGTGGTGAGCAGAATTTAGTTCCTGTGGTTGTGGAACTGAGGCTGTCACCTCCCAGAGACAGCATGCTGTGTCCTGAAAGGTGACCCTCTCCACAACATGGCAGTTTGCTTTAAGGTTAATAGGAGAGCACCTCTGCTATTTCTGCTTCTTGTCTCTTAACTTTAGAAACATGATTAGTTCCAACAATGTAGCATGTTTCATGTGACTCCTGAATTTTTTCCTATATAACTTTTATCTTTAGTAACTTTAATCTGTATTGTTTTCCTGTTACAAATTGCAACCATATGTATAACAGTACACTTCCCTCCATGATAATGTCTCCCTTCTACATCACAGGCAAAGTGATCCAGTTCCTCACATTCCATATCCAGTTCTTTGAACTTCCCATTGTTTCACATTTTAAAAGGTCCAAGAAGCTGGCTCAGATCCCTCATTTGTGTGCTCAAAGGCAGCTTATCAAAGAGCCATTCCCACCCCTAAAAGCACAGTTCCAGGATAAACACCCAGTGTTCCACTGGCTATATTAATTTTCCATATAGTAATTTTTACCCTAGGATATGTTTATTATTTATTATATAGTACTTCTATGGAGAACAAAAATAATGATGTCTATTTATTTAAATTTTTTTTGTACTGCTGTTAGCTTTGAAAATATTAGGCTATCAAAATACAAGTTTTTTTAAAAAATACAACAATTACCTCAATTATAGGAGGCAATCACAGGTATGGAAAACATTAAAGAGTGTTTAGGAAGAGGACAGAAACTCTCTAAGCAAGATGATAGTGTATCACAGAGATCACTGAAAGAGAAACTGTAATTTCATGACAGGAAACTTGGTTACCTAGGCCAAGTGTCATCAGAATATGATGGGAAAATAATCAATTTTATTTTTATATCCTAGCAATATACAATTGGAAAATGCAAAGAAGAAAAT